GCCATTTTACTAAATAGTATGTTCTTTTATTCATTACCTTTTGATCTAGGATAGATTCGACTTCGTATTCTTCTGGTACAAAGATCACAGATGGGGGCGTTGGTCTGTTGAAATCTTTTGATTCTTTGTATAGTTTTAAAAGTGAAATATGGAACACCAGGTGAATTTTTCAGTTGTTTGACAAGTCTAGTTTATATGCAACTTTTGAAACAGCTTTTACGATTAGATAAGGCCCCACGTATTTTGGCGATAACTTTTTTGTTGGTCTCTGTTTGTCAATTGGACTAATAATATTTTTTGTTGAGAGCAACACTTTATCTCCTATGTTAAATTCTAGATGCCAACGTCATTGATTCGCATACTGGGTTTGTCTTTGTTGAGCTAAGGTTAAGGCATCCTTTGCAGTTTTGATCATGTTATCCCAGTGTTTTATAAAATCATTAGTTGCTGGTATGTTGCATGGAGCTTCAGCTGCTAATGTGGTTGGCATGATTGGGTGTTGTCCTAAATCTAATTCAAAGGGAGTGAATCCTGTCGACATCTGCTTGAAGTTATTATAAGCAAATTTAGCAGCTGGTAAGTATTCATCCCATTGGTCTTGCTTATATGTTGTATATATTTGTAATATTTCTTCTAACGTTCTGTTTATTCTCTCCATTTGTCCGTCTGTTTGTGGATGGAACGCAGTTGACATGGTTAATTTAGTTCCTAACTGTATGAAGAGCGACTGCCAGAATTTACTAGTGAATCTGGGATTCCGGTCTGATACAATTGCTTTAGGGAGACTGTAATTTTTGAAAATAGTAGAAAAGAAAATTTTTGCTACTTCTGGTGCTGTTACTGTGGTGTGGGTGGAGCAGAAGTAAGCCCGTTTAGTTAATTTGTCAACGAATACTATAATTGCATCATATCCTTTTTTTGTTGGAGGTAATTGGACTATAAAGTCCATAGTGACTTGTTCCCAATGCCTTTTTGTGATATTTAAGGATTGTAGAAGACCGATGGGTTGTTGGTTACTACTCTTATTTCTTTGGCACTAGTCACAACTTCCTACATATTTTTTTACATCAGTGTGGAGTTTGGGCCAAAAATAATGTTTACTAATAAGTTTATATGTTTTATCCATTCCTAAGTAACCCGCAGTTTCGATATCGTGATGCTCCTGGAGTAGGTGTGTTCTTAATTTCTTATTAAAGGGGATTGCTAGTCTAAACCCTTCTTTTAAATATACTTTTCCGTTATTTAATTCAAAATGTTTTACGCGTGCTTGTTGTTTAGGATTATTAACAAATTCTTCGTTTAAAATTTTAAATATAGGTAAAAAATACTGATCCTTAAGATATTTATATTTTAAAAAATTTTAGTCAGCTAGCTGAATAGAAACTGTTGTGATATTATTAAGGTGTGTTCGTCTAGACAATGCATCAGCTACGGTATTATTTTTACTGAGTCGATATTTTATATCAAAGTTCATTGACTGTAACACTTCTAACCATCTAGCTTGCCTTCGTAACAGTTGGGATTGGGACTTAATGTATTCTAACAAAGCATGGTCTGTAATTACAGTAAACTTACGACCTTCAATATATGACCTCCATAGTTTAATAGCATGAACAATAGCTAATAACTCTTTCTTGTGCGTAGGATAATTTAACTCGGCTGGTGAAAGTTTTCTTGATTCAAAGGCGACTGGTTGATCGCCTTTACCGTGATCTTGACTAAGGACAGTACTGATAGCATAATTAGAAGCGTCTGTAGTTATAAAAAATGGTTTAGCAGGGTCGAGAAGAATTAGAACTGAGGCAGAGGTGAGTTGATACTTTAAGTTTCAAAAGCAACCGTTTCAGGTTGTTCTCACTTAAAAGGCTGGTCCTTATGAAATAATTGTGTAAGGGATGTTGCAATGGCTGAAAACCCTTTTATGAATTTTCTATAATAACTAGCTAACCCAAGGAAAGAACGAATATCAGAGATGTTAGTAGGCATAGGCCAATTCCGGATGGAGTTGATTTTTTTGTTATTGACTGAAAGTCCATCAGCTAATATAACATGGCCAAAGTATTCTACTTCTTCTTTAAAAAATTTGCATTTACTAATTTTTGCATACAACTTATGATCTTTAAGGATTTTGAGAACCTTGTTAAGGTAGTGAAAATGGTCTCGCTTCGTCTTACTATATATAAGGATATCATCAAGGTACACTATTACGAATTTATCAAGGTATTCCCTGAAAATATCGTTCATTAAGGCCATAAATGTAGCGAATGCATTTGTAAGGCCAAAGGGTAATACAAGAAATTCATAGTGGCTATAACAGGTATGAAAGGCGGTTTTATGGATATCCTTCTTTTTAATCTGAATTTGATGGTATCCAGAATACAAGTCGATTTTTGTGAAATATTTAGCACCAACTAATCTGTTCAGCAACTTGTCAATGCAGGGAAGGGTATACCTATTCTTAATGGTGATTTTATTTAAGGCCTGGTAATCAACACATAACCTCAAGGTTCCTTCCTTCTTATAGACAAAAAGGACTGGGGTGCCGAACGGGGAAGTGCTGGGGTGAATAAAGTTTTTTCATAATAGTTTAGCTAACTGGTGCTTTAATTTGTCTAATTCTTTATAGGACATTCGGTAGATGGGGCGAGATAGGGGTTCTGAACCTGGTACAAGATCAATGGCATGGTCAACGATTCGTTTTGGGGGCAAATGGTTGGATAGGTTTTTAGGAAAAACATCCTTAAAATTTTGAAGAATCTTTTAGACTTCTGGTTGTTGGGTGTTGGTGTCTTTATTACTTTCTTGACTAATATATATAGTAAAAATTTCTTCACTATTAGGCACTTTGGCTAATTGTTGCTGGGATATGAATACCGAGTTACAACTAGAATCCTTAGGTGTTTTCTGGGAGTCTGCTTGGACTTCAATAACTTTGGACCCATACTGAAAAACCAAGATATTTTTTCTCCAATTGATGTTGGGGTTGGCATGATATAACCATGGTTTTCCTAGAATAGCATCGTAACATTGAAGCTTCAAGACTTGTGCTAATATCCCGGAAGTGTAGTAAGGATCTAGTTCTAACTTATTTATGTTAAATGTCTTATCCGTTTGTGCCTTGCTTCCATCTGCTAATTCAAGTGATAAGGGAGAAACGGTTTTTAATGTTAGTTTATTCCAGGTGGCAAAATTTTTGTCAATAAAATTGCGGGATGCTCCACTATCAAGAAGGATCCAAGCAGAGTGACCATTGATTTTGCCGTTAAATTTCAATAACCGTTCGCAATTTTTTTCTACCTGAGTTAGTTCTAGGCTATTGTTGGTTATGGTATGTGGTGGCTGATTAGGTTCATCCTCAATATTGGTATGTTTTTGCTTTCCTTTGCTTTTACAGTTTTTTGCATAATGTCCTGACATTCCACACTTAAAACAATTCCCTTTTTTTTTTCCATGATGTTAACTACTTGAAGAGCTTCCGGCATAGTCTAATTCTATTGGTACAGGTCTGCCATTTCCTTTTCCCAGTTTGTTTGTATATCTTTGTAGTTTGTTGGGGGTGGTAGTGGAGGGCCTTCCTGTTCCAAACATCGCAGTATCAAACGAATTGCTAAGTCCCATGCTTCATCCAAGTTGGCTGGTACTTGATAAGCGACTTCCATCTGAGTTGCATGTTTAAGGCTTTTGATAAAATAAGTAACTTTATCAATTTCGTTCATGTCTTCGATCTGTCCTATGATATTACGAAATTGTGTTCCATAGTTCTGGACAGACCCAGTCTGTCGTAACTTTTTGAGCTGCTGATGAAGGTAATGTTGATAATTTGGGGGTTAAAAAGCACGTCTGACTGCTGTTGCAAAGTCATTCCATGTATCAAATGTGGCATTGTCTTCTGCAGCTATGACTTTATTTAAATACCAATGCAAAGCAGCTCCTTTGAACCCTGTGGCCGCATAA